TACATTGTTAACCGCAATTGCTTCCGTATCTTTATTTAATGCCGGCATGTTAATATACATACATATACGTATTTACGTATATATGTACGCAAGTATGTAAAGCGTTGCATAATTTCGATATGTATGCGTACGCATACGCGCCAAAGGCAAAGTGCTGGTAACAATTTGTGAGAATTTCCCCGCCAAGAATTAGGGTGAAACGCTTGTTTTTTTTTGGTGTTTTTTTAATAAACTACTGAGTCATCAAAAGCGGCTCAATTGGCATTTTTTCAAATGACTAAATGAAGAGATTGCTTTTATTTTCTGTGGCCATAAAGATGGCGAAATTTCACAATGAAATTCAATTGCTTGCATGCTTGATCCAATTTCATCATGTAGGTATGACTCAGTTTGGATGGCTCAATGACCAAACTTATTTCAAATTAGTAATGCTTCGTGTGGCNCGTAAGCCAAAAAAGCCAGTCGGTACACTGCTAGGTCACATCTTATTCTGGGTGCTGAACTTTTCGACTCATACAAAGCATCGTAGCTTGGATGAGGATTTCTAAAGCATTTAGCTGCTTACTCGTCATGGCTGCTTTCTACAGCGTCTGAACTATTATGGTCATGATAATGCAATGAAATGCAATTCATATGAAAATATGCCCAAAACTGCTGAAAATATACTTTTTGCTTGCACGTCGTTTTCACTGGAAAGGCAAAACTTAAGAACAATGAGTCACGAGACTCGAAACTAATAACATATTTTTAATTATATTACGAACGATTGAAAAGTCTCAGATGCATTTAAGTATGTTAGTATAACAACAATGATAATTCTCTGAACTAAAGAGCGATGCCGAAAGAGACAATAGTGGAATATAAATTTTTTTTCTTTTGAGTTTTGTAATTATCCATAGGAAATGCTGACAAAGACTTTCAGCTCTTGAGGCCCAAATCACATAAGTAGAGGGGTGGTCTATGTAAATTGCAGGTTGTGGAGAGGCATGATTTCTTTACCAGCATTCCCGAGGTGGCACAATGTTCGAAAAACCCATTACACATTTACATCTGCCTTGAAGAAGATAAAGCGACAAAGCGCACTTGCTGTTACCACCCTACACCTATGGGACTTGTTGGTTTTAGTTTCGACTAAAAAATATCCAGTAGCCTGCTTGTTCTTTTTATTTTGCTGCCCGCTTTCTTCTTGTACTGTTAACCCCTTCTGGGCCTTAAGCCTATAATTAAAACTATACACGACGAGCAGAGTGCCTTTTCTTATTTCATTAAAAAGCCTATGGTTTTTTTCCTTTTGTTAAAAATATCATGTGAAGCAGTTAAAATTTACCTACTTTTATAATGTGCCTCATTTTATTTAGCCATTTTTAACATAAAGAAATAAATTTTTTTTACCAAAATTAGAAAAATTTTCCAAAAATTGGGAAAAACATTTTTAGAAAAGAACATCATTTAATTGATTGAATGCCTATTAAATACCGGAAGCTTACACGTCTTAAAAAAAAAGTAATTTTCAGAGAGAAATTTTTTTTTTTTAACTTAATTAATTAAAGGATTTTCTTCTCTAAAAATATTTTTTCCAAATTTTGGAAAATTTTTCTAATTTTGGTAAAAAATTGTATTTCTTCAATTAATCAAATGATTTTCTTCTCTAAAATATTCATTGCTGGCAACAAAAATTTTTGGAAAAGGTGTACCTTTTAAATTAAAATATTTTTTCTTTCTATTTAGGTTTTTGCAAAAAATTTTTTCTCTCTGAAAATTACTTTTTTTTTTAAAGACGTATAAGCTTCTGAAATTTAACATTTTTCTAAAATGTAATTTTTTTCTAAAAATTTATTTTCATGTTTACAAAAAATTATGAATATTTTTTAATTTTTTTTCTACAATTTTGTTTCTTTTTACAAAATTTATGTTTTCTAAAAGTATATAAATTTTAAGTAGCACTTCACACAATTTTTCTATAAGTGAACGAACTCGTTTAGAAACATGTTACCTTGATCTGGTAAGGGTTAAGTAAGCCACACCCATTTTGAAAAGCTTTAAAAAGTCTCCTATTCGAAAGGCATGCAGTAATTGCAAAACATTGAACTAAACGTTTTTTACAGAAAAAATCTATTTTATTCAAAAAGCCATTAATTTATCAAACTGCTTTGGTATCTTATGTATAAAGTTTTAATCCTTTTCCTGTACTTTAAAAATGTGCTTTATATGAATAGTTATTTTTTGTCATACATATGTATATACTTAATGAATACGGCATAGGGATTCAAACAAATGAGCTATGTAAATATATCGTAAAATAGTTCAGGCGAGGATTCGTTTTTGTACGCCTGCATTTTGGTGTTCGCGCCTTAAGTCTTTTGTTTCCATGCAGGCTTCTGGTACGCGCTAGCGTATACGTAACTTGTAATGGCCAAATTTGAACGCAAATGTATAGGCTATTTTTATGTAGCTTACATATTTACATTATCAACCAGTTTTTTGTAATGCTGTATATCAGTTCTACAGTTATTAAAAATTAAAGTTTTATGTAATTAAGTTTAGTGAAAATTAATAAAACTAGCTTTAAATAAAAACATACATAAAATTATACAAAAAAGCACATCATTTATTTATTATTTATTTTTTTTATCTTATTTATTTTCTCAGCTCCGATTACTGCTCATCACAATTATCGCTTGCGGCTTTATTGGCAAAAGCAATGCCTATTGTTCGCTTGAGAAGATGAAGAAATTCGCCATGGAAGCGTGCGAGCATCTATTCATGCAAGACGAGGCGAGGGAGAAGCGTTCGCTGTCCATGCAATATGATCACAATGTAATACATCACAATGAATGTAAGTTAAAAATAAATCTAAATGCGCATATTTGCCAACACTCATACATACATATCTATGTAGTCACACTTTAAGTATGCTTGCGTACGTTCTTGAGAATTTTGATACCTGTAAGTACATGTTTGCATGTGCATGCATAGCGCGACGACACATTCGCTGTAGTAGTAGTAGGAAATGCAGCGTATGTACATACATGTGTACGTGTTCAAAGCGCACTAATTTGGCACGCGCTAATTTATTGTCAACTCAAATATTCCGCGAGGTGTTAATTAGACTCAAGTAAAAAGTTATTTATTATGCGTTGCCGCTAAGTGTTAAACTACTGCATATATACGTACATATGTACATACATACATTTGCCTCCATGCATACGTGAGTGTCTGTCGCACGTTGATATGTGTTGACTCAACGTCAACAACGTAGTTAAATGCAAAAATGCACTCTCCTTTAGTGTAACGCAATAAAAAAAAAAAAAAAAACAACAAAAAAATAACAAAGTAAATATAGATTTTTCGTGTGCTTTTCGAATATTACCCATAGTTAGTGTCGATCAGGCGACAAGCTTGTCCACATGTCATTGTTTACAACTGGCGGTTGCTGGTTGCGGTGGTGACAACGGCGGCTAACTGATACGAAAAAGGTCACCAAGTCAGTCAACTTTGGCATTGATTATTATGAATTTCACTGTTTTTCTGCCAATTAAATATTGAATGAGTAGACTTGAAAATACTAAAATATAAATATAAATTGTTGTTCTATAAAAGTGCTTCATATATGCAGCCAAAAGCGGAAGTATGCATATTTGCGCGTATTGTTTGCTAAAGCAGCAGTTACAAAAAGCACCTGCAAAAAGGTAGTAAAACTATTTATTGCAAAAAAAAGAAACGCTGTGAGTTAGTATACCTCAACCGTTTAATTATGGAATACTTTACTTTGTTTAAGAAAAGTACATAAACATACATTTAAGTACATGTGTGTGGTGCAGTTGACTAAAATTTTAAATCTGACACGCCATTTCGACTTTTCGCTCAGTAGTTAAAAGTTAAAAAAATTCCAAAAAACACAATTTTTTGGCAAAACAAGAAATTGTCACATAAAGTTCAAAAATCTTTTCGCTCAGTAGATGAAAATTAAAAAATTCCCAAAAACACATAATTTTTAAAAAAAAAAAAAAAAAAATTGTCACATAAGGTTTCTAATTCTTGTTGGAATATATATTACTACCAGTAAAGTCAGAATTTTAATGCCAACGCCCCTAGGGTTGCTCTATACCAAAAAAATATACTCCTATTTTAGTGTATTTTGAACACAAAGAGAAACAATTGAGTATTATTACTGGGAATCTTTCGAAGACAAAGCGTTTTCCGATCGAAAAATATTGATTTTCAAAAATTTTATACCATTTCTACGAAAAGTTGTTTGTTCCCTTTAAGCATTCCCTAATTTTTTTTATCTAAAAAAAAAAATTTGGGAATATATTTTTCGATATAGAACAATCCTGGGGGGTGGCGGCATTAAAATTCCGACTTTACTTTTTTAAATGCATTTTTGGACCACCCTACTGTGCACCATATACCAGTGATACGCCTAAACACTAAAGTAAAAATAATTGGAGTATCTAGGCGGTGGTCATGATTCTTCGAACTATATTTTTTAGTATCATTCGCGATCTTTCCGCGATTTTTCGGAACATTTCGGGATTGCGCGACTATACCAGTATTCTCCGTACTATTTTGGAATTTTCTAGACTCCTTTTCGACTACTTTTCTAAACGGTATTTAGTGCAGCCATAAAAGGTACTTTAGTGCTTCGTAACTAAATAATTTAGTACTCGGTATGGGGTGCTGTAAAAATAGTAAATATATTTACTTCAAGTATGTAAATACTATCATATTTGGTATTTAATGACATCCAAAATACTTAAGCATATAGTACCTGGCGTTTTACTACAGCATAACTAAATACCCCTGCATTAGTTGTGCACTTAGCGAATACAAATTTGCCCATTACTGATATATACATGTGCACGCACAGACATACATTTATACTCGTACTATGTATAAATATTACTAAGCCTAAATTTATTTTCGATAGCAATAGCTTTTAAAATAAATATTTTCCAACATCTACATATGTATATTTGTTTTATCAGCCAATTTTTCTAAAATCCCCTTTTCTCTTTCATTTCCATTCACAGATCCCAAAATCAACGATAAGAGTCATTACATCAGTCGCAGTTTATATCCACGTGGTGGTTATTTGAAAGTGGGTCAAGAGCATTTCCAAATTCTCAGCCAAATCGATGTGGTGCCACGTTACAAGCCAAAGAAGCTGCATCACGACAAGAAGGAACGCTATAAGCGTGAGCATGCGCTCAGCTACAACAACATACCCTATTGTTGTTACAACAAATGTGAAGAGGATTTCTTTTGCTAAGCGTTTTACAAACTATTTAGCGCGATTTTGCGTCGTGTCACAAGCAACCGTCCAGCGGGTGGCAGACTGGCAGATAGAATCAGCCACCTTTAGCCATTTCAATTCCAGCCAATTAAAAATGCGGCCAATAGTCACTTAAAAACAACACATACATACATACATATGTACATATGTAAATACTTTACTACTAAATGTATGTTGGATTTTTATACCTACTATTAATTTTTTACTTGTACAGTTTAAAGTTTAGTTTTAATTCGAATTTTAGTTAAATATGATATTCCTATTAGCGCTGCTAAGCGGCGCACAATGCACCATGTGTACCTTATTGATTAGTATTTATTATTATTATTATAGACATACATATGTATGTATGTGCATGCGTACACACATTGCAATGTATTTGCATATATATGTATATGTATATACACGCATGCATACAGATAAGTATTTCGTAAAAGAAGAAGAAGAAAAAAACACATTACATGCCAAACAATGTCAAGTTGTTAATATCTAATTTCATTTCACATTTATTCAAAGTGGTTTGTGCACTGTGTGCATACATACATACATATGTAAGTATGTACATATCTACATACCAACAATCATTTATACGCGCATACAAACATTATTCAACTATCTTTCGTTTCTTATCCATCAGTCAGTATTAGCAGTGAGTAGATACTGCCTATTCCTAAACATTAACATCAATGTACTACCATCATTCAATTACTTCAATTTGTTATTTGTTTTATAAAAAAAATAATCGAATAGAGTCCAGATGAATTAGTTTAAGCTTTTGTCATACTACATATATATTTTAATAAAAAAAAGAATTGTTTAAAATGATGAAGTTAAATGCTCCATGTGCTCGATTGTGAAACAAATTTTTAGCATACTTTTAGGCGGTTACTAAATGTGGTGAGTTAACCCTTTAACCTAGCTGTGGCGAAAAGGAACAGCCGCTTAAGTCGACTTAAGATAAAATATAATTATAATAATATCGTATTCTATTAACAAAAACTACACACTTAGGCCTTCTTGCATATTCTTTTAAAAAATTGTCGAACAATATCACATCTCTAAATTATCTATTGAACGAGTTATTCACTCCTCAAAGCGTCTGTCTACATTTCCCAAAATAAGGTTTCAGAGCCCTCACCAACAGAGAGAGCAGAAGCTTTTGAAACGCGCAAGAAAGTCTCGAACCGCGCTAGGACAGAATGGCCCTGCGTTTGCACATGTCTTAGCCTTCGCTGAGCCAAAATAAGGCTGCACACTTGTGTTCCAACTGTCACAGCATAAATTCTCGTTTTTTGATTAGGGGACAGCCGTGCATCTTTATGGTTATGCTGAATCCATGTGCTACAGACTGTTATGCTTTGAGCTCCCGGTGAAATTGATCAGCCGCAGTTCAATATCGGAGGGTTTGTCAAAAACCTCTTTCGGGACCACCATCTGAGACGCCGATTTTAATATCGTGAATGAGAAATTTAGAAGTCTCGTCCTTCTCTGCCGTCGGGGCCCAGGTCAAACCAGGCTTCCTCCTTCACCAATTTGTCACCTCTCTTATTGCCTTCCATTTTCCTATGTTTGGGATACCAGACAAGAGCAATGATCATTGAATGATAAAACTGAGCACAACTCCATTTTACATTACTTAATCAGCTTAGATGTGGTAACGGGGTCCCCAAGATACACTGCAGACTAGTTGTTGCTGTGCTTATGGGACACTGACTCACACCATCCCTCTTGGTGAAACTAAGACAAGTACAGGGGGACAAATGTCTAGCATTTTTGAGCACCTTCGAGCACCCTCTGGGCCACTGAGCGACATCCTACAGATCTCGATTGATCTTCCCTAGCTGACCAAGATATCAGCAAATTACAAAGACTCAAGAAATGATACATCGCAAGTATAGTATGTAGAATTTAAAATCTCTACCTCAATTTCAATTCAATTCATCGCTTAAATTACTGCGTCAAATAGATCGAAAGTTCAAGGTGACTTGGTGGAGGGTTCTTCTACCGAAAGCTCTCCATTAAGACAAAATTCTGGCTTTCGAACTACTGCAGTACGTTTTCAGGCAGAAGTAGCTGACATTAAGAAGTAGTGTCAGACAGAAGTAAAAAAAATTAAAGAAATAGGTTGGTTGGTTGGCAGCGGCTCTGATACTCTGATACCCAAGTTGCTGTTACGGCCCTAAACGCAATGGTGGTGCAGTCGGACTGGTTGTATTAGGCTCATTTAGGTTGCAGGCCATAGCGTCATTGCGAGAAATTGCATGGCGGATGATTTGGTACGGATAGATCGCCTTGCAATTTTACAGCGGGTAGGGAAACCCTCTGATCTCCAGTAGTTCACTTTTAAACTTACTACACTCAGCGAAAATCAGTCACGAGTATCATCGAATGTCTAACACATATGTCAATCCAACCGATCATCGAAAGCAGACGAAGAGCGCCATCGGCTTTATAAAACCTAACTTACTCTGGAACAATTTTTGTACTGTATCAAATGATATACATACATATGTGGTAGTAATGCCCAACGCTTCCACACTTTAACGCAATACATAGTAATTGCTCTCTTCAAGTTTTCCCGGGTACGATAGCAAAGAGTCACAGTTTCCATATTCGCATAAAAACAAAAATTCTTGGGAAAAAAGTACGAATGCCTTTATCAGAAGAATTGTATACAAGTCGCTTATATCATTACGTTTCTGTGAAAGCATTTCGAGCCTAGTTAGCTGCATGCAAATAGCTGCGAGTATATTAAAGCACATACTACGAGCTCTGCCACATTTGAAGTGCATTAATTAAATTAATTTTTTTTGTCGACATACCTATACATACATATGCTTATGGCCGAATGTGTTTTCATGAATAATTTATACTTTCCGATTAAACGTCGCGTTGCCTTGATAAATCGACCGAGTTGATACGTACATAGTTACGTGTTATTACTTAAGAAGAAAAATAATTGACTTTTAGACTTGGAATGTCGTCTAATTACCATTTCGACGATTTTACTAAAAATATAGTGGTTATGTACATATACATATATGTATATTCCAATGAAACTTAATAATTAATAAATTTAATAAATAATTTCATGTGGCTATTAAATCTATATAACGTGCCCTAACCGCCAAAATAAAGTAAGCGACATTTTTTTTTTCAAAATTTTCTTGTTGATCAGAAATGCATCTAGAACAGTGTTGCTCAAAACAGCGCCCGCGGGCGGAACTCTTCAAAGCTCTGTGCAGATTTTATATGGTCGCTCACAGAGCAAAAGCTCTCTCTGAGCATTACTGATCTACATGCTCTAGGAATATTTCTGCATCAAAAGGAAAATTTTGAAAAAAATGTCGCTTACGTTATTTTGGCGGCTGGGGCTCGTGTTAATATTTATGTAAATGTGTAAACATTTACATTCAGATATTACAATAATATTTTAATTTGACAATGGTTCTTGGCAAGCCAAAAATGGAAAATAAGATAAAATTCTGTCGCAGTTCGTAAAAAAAATCGAATTCCTTAAAAATTAAAAACAAACATATCAACACGAAAATTTCATTGCTTTCTCTCTGTTGGCTATGGGAGCCAAACATTAAACATACATACATATATAAATATAAGCTACATACACACATAGTAATTCTGCTCGAGTTAATGCTTACAAATAATCTTCAGCATAAATACATATGTATGTATGTATTATGACTAAGCACATTCAGTTGATGCAAATGCGGGCACATACACCTGCGGTCAACTAATTAGCACCGAAATTCAAAATGATTTTGCTTGCAACTTATGCCTTTTTATTTATATAATTTATATAATTCAATCTATAATAGGAACCACATAAATAAAAATTTTCAGGCTTGCACAAACTTCCAAAAATTTTCATTCAAATTTCAAAATTTTTAATTAGAATATTTAGAAAATTTTCAGGTATGGAATTTTTTTAGCCCATTCAATTTTAGTCTAATAAAGTACGAGTTTCAAGTCGCTAAAAATTATCGTTAATTTTATTCAATTTATTTTTGTGGAGGGTGTTGCGGATTTTTTTTTTTTTATATAAAAATAGGTTTTTATCATGCGTTATATGAAAAAAAAAATGCGCAACACCCTCCACAAAAAATCTCAATCAATCTAAAAAATCAACGGTAGTTTTTAGCGATTTCAAACTTGCACTTTATTAGTCTAAAATTGAATAGCTTCAAAATTACATACCCGGAAAATTTTCTAAATATGTATTGTGATTAAAAATTTTGATTCACATTTTTTGAAGTTTGATTAATTTTTTTGAAATTTGTGCAAGCTTTTATTTATTTATTTATGTGGTTCCTGTTATAGATTGAATTATATTTCAAATGAAAATGATTAAAAACAAATAAATAAACATAAGTTGCAGACAATATCAGCTTGCATTTCGGTGCTAATTAGTTGACCGCAGGTGTACATAAATCGAAATGAATGTACATTTGGGGGATTTCTCAATTGCCAACAATACCCCCGACTTTCCATCGAAAACTAGTAATGCATATTTTACTCCAATAGAGCTCCAACAATATCTATGTGTATGGATATGTATGTATGTATGTAGATGCTTATGTTTGGCCCATTTACACACCACTGTTTCGATTACAATAAGACTGGTGTATTTGATGCTGAGCGCATTGTTAATTTTTTAATCCAATAATAAATGCGTGTGTATGTATAAAAACACAAACCTTTGTATGTATTTAAAACTGAATGCGCTCTCATGCTTCTTTTTATTTGCCGGGATTTTACCACAGAAGCTTTGCGTGTTTTGTATACAAAGCTATGCCTGCTTTTATGTGGCAAGTTTCTTCTACTCTTTCACGCATCTCAACGCTAGCGATCGTGAGCGGCAAATAGTTTATTGGAACGCAATGGAAGTAATCAGCCGCAGCAGGGAGCAGGTTCCTTAGCTGAGATCGTACGCTGAGGGAATTTTAAAAATCAGTTCATTGAGAACCTCGAAGGCGTCCACACAAGTGACTGGTGCTGGTGAATTTACAAAAGTGAATTCACAAAAAAAAAATTATATTAAAATAGAACAATAAATGAATTTTATTAAATTTTAGGGCTAATCGCATATTTAAAACATATATAAATTACGAGACCCGTAAATTTGGAAAATAATTAAACTGCAAATAATAAATATACAAATCCCTGTCAACATTTTATTAATTTTATAACTGTCCGCGATCGGCTGTTACAATACATAATTGTAAATCGTAAAAAAATATTTTAAAAAAAATCAAACAATGTCAACAGCTCCGCAACCAAATGGATTACTGCACAAAAATTCCGGCTCCAAAGAAGAGGTGAATATATTTTAGTTACTTTGAAGTTTTTCCCTTAAACTATGACTAATACCACTGTGCATGTGTTTGTGTTGTGTGCCTCTGAAGTCAACCGGGAAAACTTTGCTTAGGTGTTAGCGATACTTAATAAATCTGCAACGAGCGCTGTTAAATAGAAATAAACAACTACAATGTATATATAGTTTTAGTTGCGTGTAACTATTAAACACGGTAATAAATAAAATTTTTTAATTAGCCATTTTGTATACTAAAGTTTTTTTTTTGCTTCATTTTAATCGTTTGTATGAACAAACCCTCTGAAAATTCATGGAACGTTGATAAAACAAAATACCCTGCAGGAAATGTGTCTAACTATAAGCTAACTTTATGTTGATTA